GCGGCGAGGCGGCGGCTGGTGGGGCGCGGTCAGCTGTTCGCGCAGGGAGCCCTCGCGTGGCGCCAGGAGGCGGCTGAATTCACCTTCCCCCGCCGCGGTTCGATCAGAGCAGCGATGCAGGTACCTGGGGCGGGGCCCGCTATTGAGAGGGGGATCTCTTGCCCAGTTTTGTGGTGCAGCTTTTTCTGGGGTCCCTTTATACGGGGATCCCTTGCCTGGCACCGAGATGCAGCTGCTTCTGGGGTGTGGTGCCAAGGATGTTGCCATAGGATCCCTCCAGGGTGGGCTGCGGGGGCGGTTCGATCAGAGCAGCGATGCAGGTACCTGGGGCGGGGCCCGCTATTGAGAGGGGGATCTCTTGCCCAGTTTTGTGGTGCAGCTTTTTCTGGGGTCCCTTTATACGGGGATCCCTTGCCTGGCACCGAGATGCAGCTGCTTCTGGGGTGTGGTGCCAAGGATGTTGCCATAGGATCCCTCCAGGGTGGGCTGCGGGGGCTGTTCATACAGGGATGCTTTGCCCACGGCTGAGATGCACTCACCTCTGGAGGCAGCTGTTTGCACAGGGATACCTAGGGCGGAGCAGAGATGCAGCTGACTCTGGGGAGGGTGCTGTTTATGCAGAGATCCTTTGGTCTGGAGCAGAGATGCAGCCACCTTTAGGATGCTGAGGGCAGCACGGTGCCCTCTGAGTTGGGATTGTCTGGGGTGGGTGTCACCGTTGTGTTGACTCAACACCAGTGTTCCCTGTAAGCAGAGTGCTTGGGTGGCCACCCAGGAGAGATTGAAATGCTGCCCAGCTGATTCGCAGAGTGCACCCAGCCGGCACCATGTGTTTCTACTGGTGGTGCACAGCCCAGCCGGCACCATGTGTTCCTACTGGTGGTGCACAGCCACATGTGTCGGTGCACAGAACAAAATTTATTCTGCACATGGATGGAAATAATTAGAGGGGCCTTTGTTCCGCACTTGTGGCTTGTGTGTGTTTTGGCAGTATATATGACCAGGAGGTATCTCCACTCATCCCTCTCTGTGAATAGCCAGCTGTAAACTGGCAGATGAGTTACAACCAGGTCTCCTTGGGGACTGGAGTCTGGCATGGTGCCAGCTTCTCCCAACCATTGTGGTTGGGAATAAAACCATCCTCACAATGAATAGCAGCTGGGCAGTGCTGTGACAGAGCTACTCAGGGCCCAGCACAGATGAGGTCAGGGGGTCCAGACCCTGTGAGACCCCTCCCCACCCCCCCACTAGCTGCTAACAGGTCCAAGGCGCCACCAGCTGCTAATTCTGGTCCCTGGCTCCTCAATGCTATAGCTCAATGGCAGTCTCTGGTTCTGGAGCTCTCCTTGCATTGATGGGGTCTCTCCATTGTCACGGAGGGAGGGCTTCTGGGGACTAAGCAATCTGCCCTCATGCCCCTCCTCCATGTGAATATTGATGGGGTCTCGGCCATCATAGCCTGGCTCTGTACTTCGGCCAGCACATTAGCAGGGTCCCTC